CAACAGACAAAAGTCCAGGGCCACCCTCCTGTGGTATCCAGTGCTGCCAATCCACGAATTCTGTCGAGCCGCCCTCCCAAACGAAAGGAAAACAACGCCAGTATTCATCCTTTAAGAGAGTCCTCGAAACCCAGCTCCTCTTCATATGCCATTTTTCTTCCGCAATGGCTGTCTTTTATGCCAAATGTAGGCGGTTACGAGGCCACATGAACTCGTCTGTCCTGTACACCTCTTCGCGTAGGAAGCTGAAACTGAGGCAAAGTGGAACATGTCCTTCCCCGTGACCGCGGCTACAGGCTTCGCCTGGGGTGTCCTGGCTTAATAAAACACCGCGTCAACTCCACTTTTCACATGCGATTCTCGAATATGATCGACATGGCCGTTCTGACTTGTCAGCTCCTCTGAGCCATTCACTTCGACTCTTCATGATTTCGTCTCTTTTCTGCTGAGTTTTGCCTGCAATTTCAGAGGCTTAAGCTAAGATTCTCAAGGCAATCTCATCAGGTAACCTCTTCTTGTTGGAACAGGTTGCTGGGGAAACAACCTGACCTTGTTTCCAAATGGCCGAATTTTGGCTCCCTCATACTGTCTGCGAAAGGTGCCAATTGTTCTGGTGAGAAGGAATCACGGCGAAGACATGGCTTTGCAAGACATTTAGAAAATTAAATATTGTAGCTCAACGTTCAGGGCAAAAAGCTGAATAAATCACAGTTTCATGAGTTTGCAAAAGGTCTTTTCATAAGCGCGTACCGAACCGAGTGAACTTTCAAAGTCCCGGAGGTGAGGCAACCGAAAGGAAATGCCGCCATTGAGGCTTATTTTGCGTTGTTTATCTGATTTAAAGGGGCAAAAGTAACACTACCCCGCCACTTTTGAGGCTCTATTTTCCGAAACAATTCCCCACTCTTTCTGGTCAACAGTTTTTACGCACGATTGATGGGCTAATGAGAATCGGGCTCCCTTACTTCACGGAAGAGGAGTAGAAGCTTCGGCTTCAAGTCAGGTTGATGCAAAGGAGAAAGAGAACCGGTTTAAAACAAAACTTCAATCTTTCACAGTCCATAACCCCAGAGTTTTGCAACCACATCAGACCCATTTTTGTGAGTTGTGTGTGATTGCCATTGTGGGAGGGGCAAAAGATAAAGTACAACATTTCATTCGACATCTTTGCTGCAGAGCTCAAAATTGGCATATGAATTCTTTCTCGAATATATGCTAGTTCGCGGCTATACATTTCATGCCATATCAACGCCCGTCAAATCGTAGCTTTTCTGCTGCCCTTCGATGAAGGCACAGCAGAAATAGAAAAATAGTAACAAATTTTAAGGCGACAGGTAACATATTTTTTAGTAATCATAGAAACTACCTCAACCCCAGTTGCACAACCACCCAATCAGGCTGACCACAAGACCCCAGCACCAATCAAAATGTAGCTGTGCAGATGGGTCTTTAGTGTGAAAGCCAGGTAATCCCTGTTGCTAACACCTATCGCTACAGCATGCAAAATTGCCAATCTTCATAAGTCCCAGCATGAGACAGTTTCTGTGCAGATAGAATAAAATTTTATTTTGTTCTTAAATAAGAACTGTATCAATTCCAGTTCGGTTGAAATAATGTAGAACTAGTACCAGGTCAAAATTGCAGTCCAGTCCAGCAAAGCGTTGTGAAATTCGATTAAAACTCGAGGCCTACTCATATGAGTGTGGGAATATACAATTACCAGTCTTTCATCCCATTAAATCAGACAGGGTGAATACAGTCCTTATGGAAAATATTGTGAAATTTTAATCAATGTGTATATTACTGCTAGTAGTATGTTTTTCAGCAGCAAAATATTATCTGAGCTTACTATCTACTGGATAGGGCAAGCTCTGCTTAAAACAAAGTTAATTTTGTAACTCTGTCTATAAACAAAAAATAATCTCGTGAATGTTTGAACAATTGTGTTTTGCTGGATGAAATTGCAAGTGAGGCTTTCATTTCCTATGAAAGTGCATGATTAAGAGATTTTAAGGTTGATCATACCAGAAAACAACTGCTGATTCGCATTTTACTGCAGTCGTTTGGCTTAAATACTACGTCCATGAGACATCCTCCGAGCTGGAACTTATTTTTATAAAAGCCTCAAGTCAACCCAAAGTCAAGAATACTATCCTGCCGTATCCTTCCTGTTATACACACTCAACCAAAAACAAAATTAATATATAAATAGATACTGACGACGCGAGTAGTACCGGTTAGAATCTGATAGTCTTCTTAACTTTGTGTCGACTAAAATATTTCCAAGAATGAGCTCCGACTGTGAGGATGTCTGCCAAACGGCATTACGGACGAAAGCTAAGCCCGTTTTCACGCAAAACGAAGGAGGATATTTTGTGGACTGCGCAGACCAAACGGCTGCAGAGCAACGAGAATCAGCCGGCGTCTTCTGGTGGGATCGTCCTACCAATCTTTGCGCTATACACTTTCATACAAAATGCAAGTCTCAAAAATAAAGTTGAATTCATCGAGTGCATTTTAACGAATCTTTGACCCAAATACGTTTAGAGAAGGAGCCTGTTCTCACCGAGTGTCCTGTTTCCATATCTCTTTACTCTAGAACTGAGAGGTCCAGCAGAAAAAGTCACTGCCTCACCTGCCATCTGCCAAGCTTGTTAACCTGGGTTGCAGAAGATGGGTCGTCGGCCAGACATCTGCGCTTCACCGGCAGTCAGTCCTCTCCAGCCGAAGCCATACCACCGCAGAGGGTCGAATTCCACAGGTTGAAGCGGGCCAGCGTGTCACCAAATGGCCTCTACCTTCTCCTCGAATGGCACTCTGGAATGGAGGTGGATAAGTCTTGCTACTTACTTACAATTAATTTATGCAAGTGTTTATTTTTTACACGGTCTGCTGAATAATGGAGGATTTTTGCTGGCGACTGATTGGTGAAAACTACCTAGCAAAACATTTTCTATTCTTTTTTGTATTAGTTGGTTATCTGCTCAACTTTGGATAAAAAGGTATCTTAGAAGCTATTTTATTTAGCGCTAAAGAAGAGTGTTTAACAAATGCTCATCACTTTCTATAAAATTTTATTCACCAACTCAATTTCGCAGCCCTCTTAGTAATCTATTCATGTAAATTTCCCATATATATTACCCTATTTCCATTTATAATTGCCTCTACAGCCCTGAATAAAAGTAACCTGCCTAGTTGTTTGACTTAGTCATAGCAATATGAGATGTATTCACCCTATTTCGTTTAAGGTGATGAAGGAGTGGTAGTCGAATTTTTCCACTTCATCACCTTAAAAAAAATAGGGTGAATACATCTCATATTACTGATTTACTGGTAGTCTCGAAACTCTATTTACATACGAAAAATTAGTCACAGCAGTTTCGAATGATATTTTTGAAATGGGATACCTTCTTTACTCACTAATCCGCCCAGGTTTATAACTAATTAATTTTCATACTTTATCTTAACCAATTGTTTTATTTACCGATATTGATGTTAGAATTGTCAGACTTTACCTACCCTAATGGAGTGGACCCAGTCTGGCGATTCACCACCTCAACCTTGCCTCCACTTCCACAGCACTTTCCCTCTCCTCTGCTTATGGTAATTCGTAGCCCCTCATCTCCAATTCCTTATCTGCTTCGAATTGCAGAGCAGTCAGATAACATTTTTCGAGGAGGGCTAAGACTGGTGGTACGGTACACAGCCTTCA